AAAGTTGAGGGGAAAGCCATGTACAAATTTATTTTTTATTCCTCAGCTCAAACTGTGGTTCTTACATTTAGGTACATACACATCCTTCCTATTTCAACTTAGACATCAATTTTTCATGAAAAGCTCTCTTTAACCCTTTACCAGCTGGCAAGAATATGTTAAGCTCATTCTATGCAACCACAGGACCAAATACCTCTTTTGCATTGTTAAATATCTGGCTTCCCACCAATGTGTAAGTTATGCAAAGACAGAAGCTGTCTGTATTATTCATTACCAGATTCTTACTACTGTGTCTCACACACAGTTTGCTTTCAATATATGTTGTTGATAAAAAGATAAATTGCTACAGAAGTAGTAAGAATGCTAATAATAGTAATGGTAGCAGCAACAATAATGATAGGTAACACTTATTGAGTGGTTACTTTGTGCTTTAAATAATTTAATCCTCATAAAAATCTATGAGATAGGAAATATTATTATCATCATCTTACAGATGAACACAACAGTGGCACCAAGAGGCTAAGCATTACCCAATATGTCACGCAAAACTAGAAAGAAAAAGAGGTGGGATTTGATTGTAGGCAATATAACTCTAGAATCTATATCCATAATCACTATAATACCTCTTGACTAAAAAGCTATTCTTCACCAAAAGAAGTGATTTCAAGTTCTAAATGCATCCTGTGGAGATATGGATATATAATTTCCTATTCATAAGAATAAAAGAATCACATAAAAAGAACTTTGCATGCAGTTTCAAAAAATGTATACAAAAGCAATTCTAGCAAATCATATCTTCTGTTCTCCCACTTGGCTATGTAGGTTTTTCTATATTAAAATAGTTACAAACAAAGTTCACTTAAGATTTAACTTTCCTGAGATTAGGATAAGCCAACATGCAAATTAACAAGACAGATCCAGCCACATTAATTCCTGTTGTCTAATTAGAGGTCTTATTAAACCATTATTAAGGATGAATTGGAAAGGGAAAAAATGTCTAGTAATTAGCACAAAAAAACTTTAGAGGAACACAAGGGCCTATGCATGCTCCCATGCCACCCTAAACAAATGTTAAAAAACTTTCTTAGTTTAGTTTTGCCTATCTACAAAAATACATAAATTATTAGGAGTACTTATTCTAAAATGCACA